GTCAGACATGAGCTTCAACCAAAACCTGAGCAAGTTTCACTGTTCGAAGGTAGCTATATATTGAAGTYAAGTGACATTCATGATTTATTACATAAATTATGACATATTATAYTTTAACCAGCGTCCTTTCGAAGTCAAAATATGACTAACAATGTAAAATTACATGTAAACAAGAAAACTTACCACACGAGATAATGCTTGCAAGCATGAGATGACCTGTAGAAASAAGAAATCGACTATTAGATTTAATTGCACAGTTACGATCGAGTACCAAGTTGCACGCAGCATATCGCATTTTTATCTCCACCAACTCAAACTACGGAACTATCAAAAATCAGCAGCATTTTGATTGGCTACTGAACTACGAATTTTTCTTTTATTATCTTTTTTGAAATTTGCCCTATAGTTTGGTCGGTCTCGAATTGCTAATTGTCACCTGTGCCGTTCGTATCTATCGTCACTGAGTTTTAATAAATACAGTCACTGAGCTTAWAAATATGAAAAGAGAGAGGTTTAAAAGGAAATCCTCCTCTTGGATGGTGTAAAATCCCTTTATTTATCTTACCTGGCCAACATTTTGCTTTTCATACAAGTCTACTGTCTGGAAAATGTGCACTCTATCCACACCGTTGGCCTCGCAAGCTTTCAGGAAGTTAGATATGTTTTCCTGCATCTGTTATTGGATAATCAGACCATGTGATTAAGTAGTGTGAAAAGCAGTGATTTTGATCKCAAAGATCAAGTTGATCTCTGATCCTACAGTACAAGTTTGAAACGTTAAAGAGTTATTGTTTTGGCTACTTGGGCTATTCAGCRCARCCAATTCAGTGTTTTGCCGACTACGTTTCGTTGCTATTTTGGTCAACTTCGTCAGGTCGTGTTTTCTTCTTCTCGCTTGATCGCGTTAATAGCGGCAAAACACTGAACTGGGTGAGCTGAATAGCCCAAGTAGCCAAAACAATATTAATACAACACAGCACGCCGAGAAAAGTTACCGATTATGTTAAAAAGAGTGTCTGCAAAAGTTGGTGTCGAGTCTAGGACGCGCATTAATTAAACCGTATAGTATTGTTTAGTGGTGGTAACTAGCGGTAAACTAGTGTGAGCTGCGTCGGTGTTTCTAAAGAAACAGTTATGTAAAAAGATAAATTTAACACCGTAAAAAAGTATGTGGAAAAACTTACTGACGTTTCGGATGTTAATCCTTCGTCGGAGTAAA